CACATTCTGAAAAATGCTTCATTTTATAATTTTTTCATTGTGTGAAAGTCAGAGTGTATGTAAACAACTCTGGATAGTATAGCCTTCCACAGATCTAGGCTACATGATATAGTGTCATGCTCTTCAGCTACAAACCAATAAAGCCTGCTATTGTACTAGATTATAACACAATGATTAACTACTTGTATACCTAAACATATAATAATATAACAAATTAGAATAAAATAAAATAAAAATTTAAAAATAAACACATAGTAAAGGCAGAAGAAAAATACAGTACAAAAAATTTAAAATGGCAACCTATTTAGGGCACTGACCATGAGTGGTACCTACAGAACTAGTTACTCTGTGTGAGTGAGTTACTCTGGGTGAGTGATTACAAAAGCCTAGAATATTAACTGTAGACTTTATAAATACTGCACACTTAGGCTACAGTAAATTTATTCCTAAGATTTTTCTTCAATAATAAACTAACTTAACTTACTGTAACATTTTTATTCCATGAACTTTTATATTTTTTTAACTTGAATATTTTATAACATTTAGCTTAAAACACATACATTGTACAGCTATACAAGAATATTTTTCTTTATATTTTTAGTTAAAAAAAATGGGGGGGATGGTATTGGGGATTGAACCCCAGGGCATTCTGCCACCGTGCTACATCTCCAACCCTTTCTATTTTTCAGATAAGGTCTCAGTAAGTTGCAAAGGCGGGCCTCAAACTTGCAATCCTCCTGCCTCAGTCTCCCAAGTTGCTAGGATTACAGACATGTGCCCCTGCACTCCACTTTAAAAATTAAGACACAAGAACCAGACACTGTGGCACTTGCCTGTTTGATATGCTTAATAACGGCTGTTTATTATACAGATTAGCATACTTACATCTGGCTTTGATATTTCAGTGAAGCTCTGAATGTAAACTTTTTCGGGAGGGGGACACCAGGGATTAAACTCAGGGGTACTCAACCACTGAGCCACATCCCCAGTCCTATTTTATATTTTATTTACAGACAGGGTCTCACTGAGTTGCTTAAAGCCTCACTTTTGCTGAGGCTGGCTTTGAACTCACAATCCTCCTGCCTCACCCTCCAGAGTCCCTGGGATTATAGGCATGTGCCACTGCTCTGGGCTGAACATAGACTTTAAAATTGATGCTAGAACAAGTTAAGACTTTGGGGACTATTGGGATGGAATGAATGTGTTTTGCATGTGAGAATAACATGAATTTGGGGGGCTAGGGTGTTGAAACTTAATGGCCAAAATGACCATTAAGTATCAAGTGATGGGGCCATTAAAGCTGATTAAGTCAATGAGGACTCCTTCCTCATGAACGGGATTAAGGTTCTTACAAAACAAGTTTTACACAGAGTTTTGTCCTTTTTGGCTATTCCACTCTTCTGCTATGTGAAGACATGGTTTTTGTTCCCCTGTTGCCCTTTCTGTCCCTTCTGCCATGTGAGGACAGAGCAGATGGTGCCATCTTTGAGGAAAAGGCCTTCACCAGACAATGAACCTGCTAGAGCCATGATCTTAGACTTCCCAGTCTCCAGGACGGTGAGAAATAAATTTTTATTGTTTATAAATTACATAATCTGTGGTATTTCATTACAGCAGCACAAAGAGAGCCTCTTAAATTCATTTAATTTTTTTACTTATATAATTAATAGTTTTGTACTTACTAGTAAAGGGAAAAAGGAAATAGACATTTTATTTCAAAATATACATTTGTACAAAATGGATCACATATTGGTTTAAGTCTGAGTTAAAAACAAACTTTTTAAAGAAATTAGTGGTCTTTGTTCTTCTTTTGTAATTTTTTTCCTTTCCATTTTTCCTTTTAGGTGATAGACTATACCAACTCCATACTATTTACTATTAAGATCCCTACTACTGGCATCATTTATCAACTGTGTATCTGCAAATTTAATAATCTGATCATTGAAAAAGGTAACTAAGATAAGTGGGCTAAATCCCTAAAAAACAAATGCCAAATGTCTTCTTTGATATAAAGAGGGCAACTAAGAACAGAGCAGGGAGGAAGAGCATGAGAAGAAGACCACCATTAAACAGGGACGAGAGGAGGGAGGGAAAGGGAGAGAGAAGGGAAATTGCATGGAAATGGAAGGAGACCCTCATTGTTATACAAAATTACATATAAGAGGAAGTGAGGGAAAAGGGAAAAACAAACAAGAGAGAGAAATGAATTACAGTAAATGGGGTAGAGAGAGAAGATGGGAGGGGAGGGGGGATAGTAGAGGATAGGAAGGGCAGCAGAATACAACATACACTAGTATGGCAGTATGTAAAAAAGTGGATGTGTAACCGATGTGATTCTGCAATCTGTATACGGGGTGAAAATGGGAGTTCATAATCCACTTGAATCAAATGTATGAAATATGATATGTCAAGAGCTTTGTAATGTTTTGAACATCTAATAATAAAAAAAAAGATAAGTGGGCTAGTGGCTCATGCTTAACAATTTCACACAGATTCTGAGAAAGCTGGTCATTCTTTGTGTTTAAATAAAAAGATATTTATCCAGAAGTTGGTTTTTGAATATTTATATTGTGATTTTTGTATATATACAACATGAAAGCAACCTAATCAAATTTCTAATTGAGCATGATTAGTTTAAAATTTTAGTGTGACATGATCACCTTCTGCCATTTTATTAAAAGAGTAATTACACTTTTTGAAAGTCCCTGATTTAAAAAAAAAAAAAGACTGGATAGACAGGACATTGATTTTTCTTTTACATGTAAAGCTAAAAAGAAGTATTTATATGACTAATTATCAACATAAGACAGCTAGGATCCAATGAAATCAATGGCTTAATAGATCTGAGGTTGTTAAAGATGAAGCTGCTGATGCCTGATCAGTGTAGGGCTGACATTATAACATGTATAATTTCATTTTTTAAAAGGTATTTTTTAAAAGGCATTTTTAATCATTATCTAGTTGGAATTTTAGGTAGTACTAATTGATCTTGCAGGAGGTGGAGAGTACTTTACATTTATATTTTTAATAAAAGATCTGACTTTTAAGCTGTGTATGGTGGTACACACCTGTAATCCTAGCTCCTTGGGAAGCCAAAGCAGGAGGATCACAGGCTCAAGGTCAGCCTGGACAACTTAGCAAGACCTTATCTCAAACCTAAATTATTTTTAAAAAGGGCTGGGGATGTTGCTAAGTGGCAGAGCACATGCAACCATGTGGCCCTTGGTTCAATCATGAGTATTACCAAAAAAGGATATGAAACATGTCTATGTCCACAGTATAAAAGTTAAACTTTAGTGGGGCTAAGTGTATTTATATTTCTTAAAATGGAAATGAATTTGTCAAACTACACTTTAATTTTTTTGTTGTTGTTGTTGTTTTCTTTTTTAGTACTGGGGATTGAACTTAATCACTGAGCCAAATCCACAACCCTTTTTTAATATTTTATTTAGAGAAACAGTCTCGCTGTGGGGCATAGCTAAATTGCTGAGGCTGGCTTTGAACTCCTGATCCTTCTCCCTCAGCCTCCTCAGCCACTGGGATTACAAGCATGCACCATGGCACCTGGTCAAACAGTACTTTAAAATACAAAGTTATGGGTTGGGGTCGTGGCTCAATGGTAAAGTGCTTGCCTCACATGTGTGAGGCACTGGGTTCAATTCTCAGCACTGCATATAAATAAATGAATAAAATAAAGGTCTGTCAACGCTAAAAAATATTTAAAAAAAACCCAAACAACCACAAAGTTAGGTGGCTCTGGGGGTAACCCAGCATCAGAGTGTGTTCCTAAGAACCTGGGTCAATCCCCTGAGAAAAAGGGAAAAAATGTTAGGCATTAACTCATGAAAAAACACTGTCCTCTAGAATGAACAGTCATAAAACCTTTTGAATTTAGTTCTAGACTTTTTATTTAACTGCTGACTTGTTACCTTGCTTAGCTCCCAATTTTTTCCTTCCTTCAAATTCCTTTTCTCATGCTACATCTTTATACAAGTATATGTTGTCTAAGCAAGAATGCTTTCTTAAATTTTGATAGTTTAAATTATTTGAATAATCCTTTAAATAACATTTTCAGAAAATGTCTATATTGTCATTATTAAATAGGTATGCAGGGAGCATAATGAGAAGCGCTACAATGTAATTTGTTACAGATTCTAGTTAAAATGCTCGTCTTAGAATGCCTAGCACTAAATAAACAGAAAACAGTTGAGAAATTTGAGGAGTCCAAAATTATAGAAAACTATTTTAATTCCACTTGAAATACTAAATGTAAGTCATGATAAATTTTAAAGTATAAACAAAACAATGAATGGGAGGTAAGTTTTTAAATGCATAACCCTGGAAAAGAAAACAACCAATCTCTCTACCTTTAAAATTTGAATGTTCTGCTTTTAAAATTTCTGTACATTTTGAACAGGTATTAAATACATGCACCATAAAATTCAAAGGGCACAAATGTAAACAGAGTGAAAACCAGGTCTTCCTTTCCTGCCCACTCAGCTATCCAGTTCACTTCCCTGAAAGTACACATGTACTTTTAGGACAGAAGATATCCAACTTCTCTACACCTTGTTTCTTTCATATGGTCATATGTCTTGGACAAATTATCTTAATTGTAAAATTAAGAGTCTCTTTAATAATTAATTTTTAAAACAATCATTTAAGAGAGGTTCGAATATTACCACCAATTTACAAATGAGGAAACTGAAGTTTCAAGAGGCAAAGTTAATGGCCTAAAATCTGACAGCTGGTAAGTAGCAGGGATCAGGATCAAACCCACGTCTGACTTCAAAGCTCATATTATTCTCTGTTACACTTTTCTAATTTTCAGTATTTGCCCAAGTAGTTACCAATAACAAACCATGATGCTAATGACGGTTCATTTAAAGTTAGTAATAAAAAGCATTATATAGTTTCAGAGCTTTTTAAATCAACTAAAATAAAATCTGTCATCTATTCCACTGATCCAAGTGCAACGTTAAAATGGAGGAATTACTTACTTGCACAATTTGCCTCCTTCCATGTGGTATTAAAAAACTCAGAGAGAATCACAACTATTTGCATTCTATCTGCCATTAAAAGACTTCTGACACAACTCTGACTCTCTGAAGTATTCTGAAAACAAAAGATAGAAAAATACAATCTGAGTATTTTTAGACTTTTCAAACAACTTGAGGCAAACATCTTATAAAATAATTAAAACATTTATTATAAACCTTGTAAGATTCTGATGTTATCAGATAATGGTGATATTAATAGTAATAATGATAATGAAACAATTAGCAGCTATCATTATTGGCATCCATTTCACCTGCAAGAAAAGAAAATCTTTGCTTCTTTAACAAGTATTTGCTTCTATAGTACAGTCTCAACTAATTAGGTCTCAGTTGCTTGTGTGTCATAATCTCTTACTTTTTATGCATGGGGAAAAATTCTGGAACATTACCAAAATGCAGCAGTAAGTATCTGTGGATAATGGAAATATGGCAGTTTTTACTTTTACTTCTCTTAAGCTGTCTAATTTTTTTTACAGTGAACATATGTTTACATACACATGTGTACATATACACATATACATACAGAATTTTTAATCTGTGGGTAGATGATCACAAATTATTTGGTTTCATCTTTTGAGCAATTTTTGGTTCAAAGTCTTACAATACACGAGAAAATCCAGTGACATATCCAGTTAGTATCCAAACAGTTGGTATTCAGACAGGAAAATATGCTTTCTACAGATCATCTTAATCATGAGAGAAACTCATGCTATGCAAATAAACCCAAGCTCCTAAATTACTTAATCCCTACTGTTTACTTTTCTTTGTGTTCCAAGCAAAAAACTGTATTCTACTGACCATTCATTCCTTCAATTATTTAACTCCTGCTATTTGCTAGAAACCAAACAAATCCTGCAGTTTTGAGCACATAAAAGTATGAGAACGCCATCAATATTAGGGCTTCCAGAACCTCCCTGAAGACACAGGTAAGGAGCTATGCAATGGGATGAGTAATAACAAACAGTGGTAACTCTAGGGAAAGAACTGATCAGCTGTGTGGGGTGAGAAAGAAAGAAAGGCAGGCTTAAAGCAAAGATTCTTGCTTTAAAATATTACTGACATTCATTTCTGAAAGCTAATCCTCTTTGTGGTTTAGTTTTGTCATCTCGTTAAAAGATGCAAATGAGTACTTGCTTTTAAAATAGTGAATTGAACAAAACATTTTAAAGTTATTTTCCTGGAGTGATCTCAAAGTAATACAAGTAGTAGGAGAAATTTTATTTTTTTCAAGGGCGTGATTACTGGGGATTGAACCCAAGGGCACTCTATCACTGAGCTACATCCACAGCCTCTTTTATTGTTTATTTTTGAGACAGGGTCTCATTAAGTTGGCCTCAAACTTGCAATTCTCCTGCCTCAGCCTTCTGAGTTGTTGGGATTGCAGGCATACACCACCATATTCTGCTTTTTATTTTAAATAGAGCTTAGCCAAGAAATCCAACAAGCCTAGATCAGTAGTTGATAATCTTGGGCAGCTGACCTAAACTGCCTGGGGTTCAGTTTCATAATCATGAGTCCTACAGTTACTATATTAAATGAAATAATATGTTAATCACTTAATATAACATCTGGCACACAGTAACTGCTATATGGTATTTCACCTAGCTACCTTGCTACCAACCTGGAATGCTCTAAGTGGATATATTTGGCTAAGTGTAGTCAGTTACTTAAGTTGCATCTCCACAAATTGACAACTAGTAACTTAAAAAACCAATACAGCATAGCCAGCTGCAGTGGTACATACCTGTAATCCCACCTACTCAAAGGCTGAGACAGAAGGTCTCTGAGTTCAAGGTCAGCCTGGAAACCTCTCTCAAAATAAAAAGTAAAAAGGGCTAAGGATGTATCTCAGTGGTAGAATGCTCCTGGTTCAGTCCCCAGTAGCCCTCACCCCTGCTAAAAAATAAATACAGTATGGCCTGTACAGGTCCTCAACATGAGGAATAGCTCAGGTGAGGAAGACATCCTTTTGAGAAAGGAAAGAGAAACTGTAGAACAAAAGGATCATATGGTAAAAGTGATTATGTGGTATTTATAAGTATTCAGTAGACAAATATCGCTAGAGTCCCCATAATGAAAGTTGGTCCCCATAATGAAAGACATCAGAAGGGTAAGTTAAAACACGGATGGGAAAGGCCTTAAGGGTCATGAGGGTCAGTAGGAAATTCTTGAAGACTTCTGAGGACAGTGACAAGAAAAGTAAGAGTGTGGGGAACAAATGTCTAGCTCATGATATTTAGGGTGAGGAGGCAGCGAGACTAATTTGAATATTCCCATAGTTCAGGTCTGATGAAAAGATGGAGGCAACACTGGAGATGGAAAGGAAGTGATGAATAATCCCAATGATGATGATGCGTTTGTTGAGCAGTTAGTTCTAAATGCTCCAAGAGCATTAGCCCACTTCATCCTCCTAACACTTCTATAAAATTAGTGTTATCCACCTGAATTCAAACACTACCTCTTCCTCTGCATGACCTTGGATAAGCTACTTAACCACACTGAGGCTGTTTCTTTCTTTCTTTTTTTTTTTTAACTTTATTTATTTATTTATTTATATGTGGTGCTGAGGATCGAACCTAGGGCCTCGCATATGCTAGGTGAGTGTTCTACCACTGCCCGAGGCTGTTTCTTATAGCATGATATCCACCTCTATGTGTGTCCAGATTTTTCATCTATACATTAAGTTCCCATAGGAGGAAACTCTAACACCTAACACAGTAGCTGAAATACTGGTCCTTGATTTATACTTAAAATTGTTAATACCCAAATCTGCCATCATCATTTGGCAGAATCCTCACTATCATGAACCCAACCATCCACATTCCTCATGCCTGCACCTAGGAAGTTGGGAGCAGCTGGCAAAAAGTTAAAAACCAAGCAGACTGTTTCCAGCATAAATCCATAATCCTAAGCTACACTCCTCACTTTCTTGCTGCTCTCCTTTTTATAACCATTATTTCCAATCTCCTAGTTGGCAGAAGAAACAGAAGACATCAAGCCAAAACTCTGATTTGCCTCACTCTACACTCACCCTCTCCTTCTACCCCCGGGTTACAGTGGAGAAAGTGCCTGCCTCTGAAAGGCCCATCTCTCCTTGCATACCCTAGATTCTGCCCACTCTGCCTTCCCTGGAAACTGACCTTATCTGTTTCTCCACTCTCTCTTACAGAACCATTCACCTCTACAAGGTCTTCACCTTTCCCAACAACCTTCAAACATGTTGCTGGGTGCACAGATATGCACCTGCAGTCCCAGCTACTCAGAAGGCTGAGGCATGAGGATCACTTGAATGCAGTGGTTTGAGGTCAGCCCATCTCCATAAACAAATAAATTTTAAACATGTTTCACTCTCATCTTAGGAAAGGAAAAAGGGAAGGAGATAGAGGGATAAAAGAATTGAAAGAAATCAAAGAAAATCACTCATGACATGTTTTTCTTATTTCTCCTTTAAGGCCAAACTCCCACAGTAATGCAGGTTCACTCTTCCCACTCCCTCATTTTCCATTCACTGTTTAACCCACCCTATTTTTGCTGCATCCCCAAGCAATCCATTGAAACCATTCTTATTAATGTCAACAATAGTGCTGCTGTTGATAGATGTACTTTCAACCCTCTCAGCAGGATTTGACACAAATAACCACTCCTTCCCTTGTTTGGTTTATAGGATCCTACATTCTCTTCATTTTTCTTCATCTCTGCGACTCCTTCTCAGCCTCCTTTGATAGTTTATCCTCTATCCCAAACTTCAACTCTTAGCTTCCACCTGTGCGTGTGAGTGTGCATATGCGTGTCCTGGGGACTGAACCAAAGACCTTGTGCATGGTTGGCAAGTGCTCTACCACTGAGCCCACAGCCCTCTTAAGTGTTCTCGCTCTTTCTTCGGGTATACTCATCCATGCTGTAGTTTCAAGGATTATTTTTATGCCTAGCACTTCTAAAGGTTTTATCTCTAGTCCAGACCTCTAGACATCTATTGCCCAACCACATATGCAATTATCTCCTCTTAAGTGTCTAAAAATACCTCAAAACCAACAATTCAAAATCAAGTGAATGATTTCCCACCAAACAGGCTCTTTCTTCCATCTCACTAAATGTCAACCCTGTCACTAAGCTGCTCTTATTAAAACCCTGGAAATCATCAATTCCTTTTTCACTCTCCACATTTAATTAACAACCAAGCCTTGTCATTTCTACTTCTTAAATATCTCCGAAATCTATTTCTCCCCACACATGGGCCTCATGTAACCTACCTACCACCATTTCTCACATCACTGTAATAATCTCCTAATTCATCTCCCCACATGTCCTTTTTCCCTACCTTCCCCAAGTCCTATCCCCTCCATTTTCTTTCATGTTGCCCAAATGGCCTTTAGTACATATCTGACCATGTCATTCCACAGAATTAATCCTTCCAACAATACTGCACTGCTTAAAATCTGAGTCTAAGATCCTTAGCACTCCCTACAAGGAACACAGGACCTAGTACCTGCCTACTTCTTCAGGCTCAAATCACTAGTCTTCCTGTTCTCTGTGCTATTTTCAAACACACCAAACCCTCAGAGTCTTCACACCTGCCATTTCTTTACATATACACCTTTTCTCCCCACCCTACGCCCTCTCACATTTCAGGTGTCAGCTCTAGGTACTGGTCTCTTTACCTAACCCCAACCATTCAAGATCAGTCCCTGGTTATATGCTTTGGTACATCTGGGTTTTTTCTTTACAATATTTATCACACTTGAATTAAATGATTATCTGTATGATGATACCCTTAACATCTGTTTTCAGTCAATAAGCTTTGCTCATTTGAAGAGAACTACTAGTAACTACCACAGCCTGCACATAATAGGTATTCAACATTTTGAATGAATGCATAAGAATTAAATTTTCTGATATCTAATGAAAGACATGTTATGCTATGCTCCCATCTTTACCCTATATTACTAGGAATTTGTTCGTTAACCTACAGTAAAAATAAAGATTATACTGTCATTTTTACCCTTTACTCCTAAAAATGTGTTGAATACTCTCCAGATGCATAACCCAAATGACTAGCACTTTCACAAACGTGTGTAATAATGTGTACTTAGATACATCTATTTGAGTTTTAAATAAGCCAACAAAATAGGATAGAACTTACTATCTCAAAATCTGAGGGGACTAAAGCATCCTTAAAACCAATCTCATGAGGCTGATCAGATCAATGAAACCATGTCCCTATCAGTTTAACCATTCAGGGTTCACAAATTACTGTGTTCTTTACTGTGAGGTTACAAAACTACATGAGATCCTTGTCCCAGTAGTTCCACAAGGAAGTATAAAGAATATAGGATTCTCATCAAATAATTCCATTAGTTAAACTAATTCACTTGCTATCCCACATGAACAGCCTGGCTAGTTTCTAACCTTAGATTTTTTTTTTTCTCCTGTTCAACTCCTGTCCTCTCTCAAGCTGAGTCTATTCATCTTAAAGAAGGTCAGAAATTCAGCCTGTGAGTCTTCTCTAACTAAACAACCACACCTTGCTCTCTGTCCCCTACTTTCAGCATCTCCTTCATCCTTTCCTTCTACATTGCTATGGTATAATTTATAACACCCTGGAAATATTTTCCTTTTTCTAAATATGTTTATTTTATTTCTCCAACCATACTGATAGTTTGAGGCCTGGGCCTTATTCTCTTTCTCCTTCTATATCCTCTTAACAGCCCAACATTCAAGTAGTAGGTGCTTGCTAAATAAACTGATTTAAATGAAAGACTAGTCTAATGAGTCAAAGAAAATACATTGCTCTGGAAAAATAAACCTCCCCCCAAAAGACAACTAATTTCCTCAAGTTCCATTCACATGATAATCAGAACACATTTTTTCCATAGGTTCATTATTACACATAATGGTTCAGTTTCCAAACCAAGCCACAAAAGCCTACTAAATCCATAAAGCACCTATAGAAATCATGCTTTTGAGGTAATGAACTACCTTCAGCTCTACTGAGGAAAGAAGGGGAATAGAGACCAAAGTCTAGGATGAACTGGAGAGGAAACACAGATTTGAGAAAAGGTTTTCTGGCCTCTTTTCACCTCTTTACTCTCTTCACACTAGGGTGAGGTGAGCTAGGTGCCTATGTTACTGGCAGAATCTGAGGCACAGAAGGAAAAGAATCCCTGTATGGGGAACTCATGTGGAAATGCATACCTATAATACTGTACTACTAGAGTTTGGGATAATTTTTTTCTTAAATCTATAGTACCTACACAAATTAGAAAAGTATTTGCTGCCTCAAAAGATTCAAGCTGTATATCATGACTCATGGCTATTCTGCCCATAACAGTACTTGTTCTTTATAGTAAAAGTCACCCTAAAAACTACTCAACTAACTGCTCAAAACCAAATATGATGTCCTGTTATTCCCTGCTATAGTTCACAGGGACAATCCATGGGTACTTAAAATCACAGAGAAATATATTTTATATATACACATATTTTTAAATATGTAAATATGTATAGCCTCTAATAGTACACTTGGAAAATACCACATGTAAGCCTAAATTTATTTAAACTATTTTGAAAAACCAATTCTTTACAGAATAATTGACCACAGAATTTATTTAATGCAAATAAATCCATTTATGTAAAATAATATCAGCTGGCTTAAAGCACAATGCAACTATATACAAGTTTATATTTATCCACATCAATTATGATTTATGAGATAACTCTAACCACATTTTCATGAGACTACTTGCTGTCCCCTCAACACACGAGGAACTTGCCCACTCCCCAACCTCCCTTGATCCTCATGTTTTCCCCTTACCAGGCATCCTTGTGACTCAGTTCACCAACTGTGATACTCTAAAACTTTCCTAGTCTATATCCTAGACAGTACTTACAACAGTAATAGCCTTTTTTTTTTTTTTTAATTAAATCCTACTACATGACCAGGAAAGCTTTCAGGGTGCCAAGAATGGAGGGCAGACTTACCATTACCTAAAATTTTAACTCCCATAGATAGAGAGCTATTACTACGTACCAGTTTTCCTTGACTTCACTTATCCCACACTTTACAAATGAGAAAACAAGCAGAGAGTGTAACTTGCTTAGAGTATAGCACTAATAAGCAGAATGGAATTGGATTCCTAGCCAACTAGCTCCACACTGGCTTAATCAATAAGATGAACTCGCATACATATCTCTTTTAATTCTTTTAACATCCATATTAAGCAGCTATTGTTGTTTTGTTTTCGTTTTATAGTTGAGGAAACTAAGGCTCTGAAAAGATCATTCATCCAAATACACACTGCTAACAATGGGTGAATCTGAACATTTCTGGCTACAAAGCTCACGCTTCTAACCACTACCTGCTTCTCCACTCCACTGTAGTTTCAAGAAAGGGTTCTTTCTGGGACTTCCAGGTTGAGACGGGGGAAAAAGCAGTGGCAGAAGCGGCGGGAGAGGGAGAAGGAAGAAGATAGTTTGGAAAGCAGGATCCCCAAGAAAACAAGTCACATCCATCTGAAAATAAGTACCAACAGGATGCACAACAGCACCCATAAAGGTAAAAATGCAAAACCCCAAGCGCCTCAATGCCATCCAATGCCCCAAACTCCACATTCAGTTCAACCCTCTGTTTATGGCTGGAAAAACTGAAGCCTCCTGAGTTGACCATCATTACAACCTTCTCCTCTCCCAGCCCTACATGGCATAGGTACCGGGTGTGTTCCTCTACCCACCCCCACGGATCGGCTGATGTTGTCCATCTTGCTCACGACCTGTTGGAAGAGCAGGTGGCAGGTCTGGCAGATGCGCACGGGCCGGGCGCTGCGCACTAGACACCCGGTCAGTTCTGCGCTGCTGTTGGCGAAGTCCAGCAGCAGCTCCTGGCACTCGGGATCCAGATTCGGCAGATCCGGGGGTAACGTCAGTGGCCCCAAACCTCCGCCCCTTAGCAGGGATATGGTCAAGTCCTCCACCTCCAGCAGTTGCTGCTCGGACAGGAGGTCGAGCAAGATCCTGCGCGGACTGCTGCCGAAAGGAAGCGCGCCCAAGGCCAGCCTCGACCACAGTGGCAATAACAGCAGCAGCCACCGCAGCAGCGACGCTCTCCGCCGCACCACTGTCGAGTCCTGATCCATCACTGGGTTCCCAAGCCCCAGGTCGCACACCGCTGCTTCTCCGCCCCCCGCCGGCACAACCCCAGCCGCCGCTTCCGGCTTCCGCGGGCGCAGGCCGAGAGCGGGGTCACGAGGCACGCGCGTCACGGCCCCGCCCCCGGTGCGCGGCGCCCCGTTGGCGGCCGGCGGCCTCAGGCTCGGGGGGCGCGCGCGCAGGGACGCGCGGACACGGAGGCTTCGCTCTCGAGCGCGCGCCGGACGCTGGGATGAGAGCGCGCGAGGCTCTCAGCACAGGCTTCCAGCTCTTTGAAAAGTCTCACCTTGCGGGTCTTGACCCTTAAACGACCACTGCTTTGCAGGTTCCCTGTGTTCGAGAAGTCTGCGGAATGACTTCACATAGCCAGACCGACGGCCTTGACCGTCGAGGTTACTGTCCCTTGAGTTCCCAGGGAAAGTCCGCTAGTAAGAGGGCTTCGACGGGTTTTTTACTTCGTTGTTTGTTAACATAATGGTTTTCTTCGTCCTATTTAGAAAAAGCAATAACATCTGTTGGCTATTATTGGTGTTGGAACTAGTGGCCTGCTTTTTATTCTGCAACCTTTCAACTGTCTACGAGAGCTCTGCGGGGTAAAACTTTCTGCAGTGATGGAAATAATAATAATCTACATTTAGAATAACTGTGAGCAAAAATGATCAAAACGGGAGCAGACCTCGACGGATCGGCAATGCCTTTTATTAAGCAGCGGAGTCAATTAGGCATCAGAGGGGCGCGTTTTGGGTAGAAAATGGCGGGGGGCTGCAACAAAGGTCAGAGTTTTATAGTGTTTTATAGGAAGATACAGCTACTTTTAGCGAGCAGGTGAATTTTGGCTAAAGAATTTTGACTGAGCCATAGCAGGAGAAAATTCGGAAGCTGCAGGGAGAGAGGCCTTGAGCAACCGGAGGAACGATTATAAATAAGGGATATTGTACCTGCTCGGGGCCTATGTCCTAACTAGGGGACGTGATTTTCTGTATCCTTCAGTAGCCACTGGTCATGTGTAGCTGTTGAGCCCCTGAAATGTGGCTACTACGACCGAAGAACTGAATTTTCGATTTTATTTAAGTGTGAATAGCCACATCTGACTGGTAGCGACTGGTAGTGGGTACAGGTCTGGGCAGTGGATGGCCAACGTGCAAGTCTGCTTGGAACTGAAGGAGTTTCCAGGATGCATCACCTTCAATACTAAAACCTGGGAAATGCTGGGCAACCCTCTTTACTTCAAATTGATACCATTGGTGGACTGTAAAAAATTTAAGGTCGTAGCATGGAAAACCATTTTCTGATAAGTATCTAATTAACAAGATTGGCAGAAAAATTACTTCCTTTCTGTTTTGTGTTTTTCTCCTTTTCAGATTATCATTTTGGCCTTATAAATTGCAGAGCTACTGCACAGATTCCTATGTAGTATAATATCCCAATTTATGTTTCTATGGGATTTTAAGCTTACTTTGTACCCGACCTGACTTGTTATTGTTTTGTGTTTCTGAGTTTACTTGTGATAGCTGAATTTTGTTTCATTTTTGTTACCAAGGAACTGAATAGTAGGAAATTGGATTTGTATAACAATAAATGTATTTCCAAAAGAGAAAGTTGTCTTAATTTTCTCAAATTTCATTATGTAACTTTAAGGTCTTTCTACATATTGAAATTACCATTATGTGTTGCTGGTGGTTGTGTACATTGTGAAACTTCTGTAGAAAACAATATAGCATAACCAACATTATAAATTTACATATTCATTGACCCAGAAAGTTCACTTCTAGGAATTTATCTTAAACATAAACCAATATTGTATAGATTCTATTATTCATTGAAGTTTTGTTTAAAATAGTAAAAGTGAAAAGGGACAGAAATGGGAAAATACTGGGGAATTATATTGGCCAAATTATATTGTTATATTGTGTGCGTGTATGAATATGTAATAATTAATCCCACCATTGTATACAATTATAATGCACCAATAAACAATATGGAAGTTTGCAAATATTTCCTGTTAAATAAATTATGGACAACTTTTCTCTTCCCTTCCTCTCCTGGAAGCCTGAAGTCCTAAAGGTCAAGTAGAGCAAGGTAGGCATCTGTACGTGGCAGGCTTGGGTTGATGGAGGCCTGGAAAGAGTTGTCAGAACACAGGTAAGAAGAGGAAGACATTTACATGAAGGAGGAAGGCAGTATCACTAGATACAGTCTATTGGATCCTATGAAGGGTTTCCATGCAAGGGAAGGGACAGCAGTGACTATGAGATTGCTTGCATTTAGAGGACTTGATCAAATAAGTAAATATATTAAGGATAATGGGAGTTCAATTTCCCACTGTCAGAAAAGGAAATTACAAGTATTAATAGAGAGAAATGAACTATGCACAGTGTTGGATTAGAAGAAGAAATAGTACACTTTATGGCTTGAGATACATACAGATAGATATAAACCAGGTGTGCTGGCACACACCTGTTTCCCAGCAACTCAGGAGGCTGAAGATAGGTGAAGATAGGAGGATTGCAAATCTGAGGCTATCCTCAGCTATTTAATGAGATCCTATCTCTAAAATTTTTTTTTAAATACTGGCTATGAAGTTCAGTGATAAAACACCCTTGGATTCAATCCCCCGGGGTAAGGGGATGAGATAAATAAGTGTAAATATAGATGTAAGCGTATATGAGTGTATATTTTCATATGCATGTGTGTGTTTCTCCTGTGAGAAGGCTTAGTAGCAGAAGCACCCATAATAATGGACACACATTGTGCCCAGCTCTTGGCTTCTGAGTGTCATTCTCCACCAAAAGAAATGAAGGATCCTTAGAGAAGTGGCTGATTCTACCAATAGAGGAGGAAAAATACAAAGTTGATCCTGAATCATCTTGTGCCAGAAAGTGAGGAAGTACTCCAAGAATGATAGGAACATATCATATCAAGAGCATATAAAAGCCAGCTTGACTACTTACCCAATCTGAAAAAATTTTAGCATCAAAATAAATAATGATGGTTAACAGATTATAAGCCATTGAATAAAACAAGAAAACCTAAGTCTATAGTGATATATTTTAATCAATGAATAAACTGATAAGGAATAAAGTACTTACATATTTTTAAAGATTCTTGCCCTCAAAATATTTACTGATTACAAATAGGAAAAAGGTAAATTTATAGTGAATTTTGTCAGTCTCTGTTACTTATGTGACCAACATGAACACCATCATAATAAGATGTATTAAACGTTCTATGCCATCTGAAAGGATGCAATTAGAAGAGTGCAGCATCAGTTCTGTTACATTTCTGCCAAAGATGCATTAGCTGATACTAATCATGAGAAAGCAACAGATAAACCAAATTCAGGTTCATTCTACAAATTGTTTAACCAGTAACCTTCCAGAGTATTAATGCTACAAAAGTCAGAAAAGATTGAGAGCTGCACCTGACATAAAGAACATTACTAGAACAACTAGCAACATTTGAAGGGATCTGAGCATTAGATGGAATAATGTATAATGTTAATTTTCTGATTTTGATAATTGTGAAAGAAAGAACAAGGCTCCTTGTTGGAGAAAATGCCCATTTATTGAGGAACAGCTCTGCATATTTATAGAGCTGGGAGTGGTTTGACAGTTATGACAGTTTAATGGTTGAAGGGTTTTACAAAGCTAGTCTGATTAGTGGGTAAGGATCATGTAAGCCAGCAGGGCTAGTCTGATTGGTGGGTAAGGATCATGTGAGCCAGCAGGGCTCACCACTGGACGGCTCTTCTTGGGGAGATGGGGAAGTTAGTCTTTGAAGCCTGGGCAACTCCCAATAAATTGTATTGAGTTTTTTTGTTGTTGTTTGTAGAAAATACACTGTAAAGTATTCTGGGGTCATGAAGGGACATTAAATCAACAACTTACTTTCAGATAGTTCTAGAAAATTTAAAAAAAAACAGTTTGTACTTGCAAATTTTTTTGTAAGCTTGAAATATATTGAAAATCAGGGTAGAAATACCATAAAATTCTGTTCATTTGGAATTTTATGTACAGATGTGGAATACTGCCAAGATAAATAAAAAAGAGAAAATGTAAGAATAAAGAATGTGGGCAGGGTTGTGGCTCAGTGGTAGAGCACTCACCTAGCATGTGCAAGGCCCTGGGTTCGATCCTCAGCACCACATAAAAATAAATAAAATAAAGGTATTGTGTCCAACTACAACTAAAAAATAAATATTAAAAAAGAATAAAGAATACTAAATGCTTGTGCTGGCATATGTATGGACTGTCCCCAGAAGGATACACAAAATTGATCACTTTGGTAGAAGAACTGGGCAGTGGGAATAGGGCTAAAAGAGATCCTGTTCATTGTAAACTATAGTACTCTTAAAGTTGTGTTCCATGGAAATATGCATTTATTCAATAAGTTGATAGCAATGAAAAGATAGTTTTCTAACTTGTCAACTATCAGTGGGCTCAGGACATTTGTGAATGCCACAAACCTTGACAGACTTTTGTAGGTATATATGCTTTTCTGAGAAGAAAGTCATAATTTTCTTCATCATTTTTCATAGGAGACTATAATCCAAAGAAAACGAAGAACCAAGAATTTAGAACAAATTTGAATAAAATGACTTACTCTGGGTTTCATTAAATTTGCTTTTCCTCATATATTACAATATATTACATATATACAATATATTACATATATGTTTTACATGTACTACAATATGCAAAACAGACAAAAAAGCAAAACAAAGGCAGTAATTCATGGAAGTAGGCATTGAACTAAACAGAGATGGCTGAAATAGCGTTGTGCCCAAAGAACAGGAAATAAAACCAAATGTGTACAATACAATTAAATAAATATTAGAGGAAATAATGCAAAGGTGTTTGGGAAGCATTAAAGATGGAACTAATTGTGCCTACAGGTTTGGTTAAAGGAATAGTTATGATACAAAAATAACAATAATTAATTGGTAATTATTTAGATCTGAAATATGAGTCAGTGATGGCTCCAAGTTTACAAATTCAGATAACTGGGTAAATGATAGTCCCATGGGCTGGAAC